TGCCACCTGCTTCCCATTTCCATAACTTAGCAGACCAAAAGAAACAACACAAAATGGAGAAGGTGGAAGAAAAGTAGGACTGTGGTCCAAAGACAATGCTCTGGAGCACTTGATTTAATAGTAAATAAGGCCTCTGATTTTTATGATTCTGTCTGCTGAATATATGCTGGATTTACATGTCTAAACTATACAAGTACTCCTTGGTTAAGGATGGAAATTGAATTGGCACCTCTACTGCTAAGAAAGGCAATCCTAAAGTGCAGTATCAAGTGATAATGCCAATTTAATGACAGCTGCTGTGAAAGTTCTAGCTGCCATTGTTACATGAATCTTGGATAATTATTAAGTGCAATATCACGATTGCCATTTGTGATCTTCTGCTGGAAAAAAACTACTTGGGGTTAAAATCTATAGCAAGCTTTAGTTTCAAATGTTGGTTTTCATGAATCCCAAATGGGATTGGATAGGAGTGGATAGGATAGGAGTGCAGGGCTTTGGTTTTAAGGAACATGCTGTCCAATTGACACCAATTGGACAGCATAGCTTCAGACAGTATAAGTGATAAAACATTTCTTTTGAAGATGAACCAAAACTTCCAGCAATGATTGTGTTGGATAATGGCTGAAGATGGTTGAGGATGATTTGTTATATTCCTTCCTTTGAGAAATGTTGGGTGGCTTGGGTATGTCTGAATTAAGGTGGCATTATGGATTATGTGTGGGGACACAGTGGCTCAGTGGCTAAAACGCTGAGCTTGTCGATTGAACGGTTGGCATTTTAGCGGTTCGAATCCCTAGTGCCACATAACAGGATGAGTTCCCGTTACTTGTCCCAGCTTCTGCCAACCTAGCAGTTTAAAAGCACGTAAAAAATGCAAGTAGAAAAATAGGGACCACCTTTGGTGGGAAGGTAACAGGGTTTCGTGCACTTTTGGCTTTTAGTTATGCCAGCCACATGACCACGCTGTCTTTGGACAACGCTGGCTCTTCGGCTTTGAAATGGAGATGAGCACCGCCCCCTAGATTCAGGAATGATTAGCACATATGTGCAAGGGGAATCTTTACCTTTACCTTTTTATGGATTATGTGTTAGGGCTATTTAAGTTTTTTCAAGATCCATTGATTGATTATCTTCCTTCAACTCTTATTATTACATAGACAGATCTTTCCATGATGATATCCTAATATGTGTTTCAGGTTTTTCATCATTGCACTCATCGCCACTATAATTCAGTCTATTCAACTTGCTGCTGGTCATCCTCTTCTTTTCTTGCCTCCCACCTTTCCCAGCATTAGTGTCTTTTCTAGAGAGTTAAGTCCAATATGTGCAAAGTAGGATATCTTAAATCTGGTCATTTGTGCCTTGAGTGATAGTCTAATTCTACCTTCCACAAATTCAGAAGGTGGAATGTCCATCGCTGGGTATCTGTTTGGGAATTGACCTAATCCTTGGATCTCACTCTTGTTCTATCACAATGATTTGATTCACATTTATTGTCTTAGATCAGGGGTCAGCAACCTTAAACACTAAAAGAGCCATTTGGACCTGTTTCCCACAGAAAAGAAAATACCGGGAGTCATAAAACCTAGGTGGGTGTGGCCAACTCGACGTCACTCACTTCCATCCAGTCACATGACACCCCCCCCCCAGCCATGCCTACCCAGGTTTTGTGGCTTCCGGTGTTTTCTTTTCTGTGGGAAACAAGTATCTCTGTGTGTCTCTCTCTTTCTCTCTGCATCTCTTTCTCTCTATCATTCTCTCTCTCTCTCTCTTTCTCATCTGTCTGTCTCTCTCTCCCCACTCTCTCTCATTTCTGTCTCATCTCTCTCTTTCTCCCTCCCTCCCTCTCTCTCTCTTTCTCCCTCTCTCTCTTGTTCTCTCTCTCTCTCATCTCTTTTTCTCCCTCTCTGTCTCTCTCTGTCTCTCGCTCGCTCATCTCTCTCTCTTTCTTCCTCTCTGTCTCTGTCTCTGTCTCATCTCTCTCTCTTTCTCCCTGCCTCTCTCTCTCATATCTCTCTCATTTCACTCTGTTTCTCCCTCCCTCTCTCATCTCTCTCTCTCTTTCTCCCTCTGTCTGTCTTTCTCTCATCTCTCTCTCTCTCTCTCTCTCTCTCTCTCTCATATCTCTTTGTCTCTGTCTGTCTCTGTCTGTCTGTCTCTCTCTCATCTCTCTCTCTCTCTCTCTCTCTCTCATATCTCTCATATCTCTCTGTCTGTCTGCCTCTCTCTCTCTCTCTCTCTCTCTCTCTCTCTATCTCTTTGTCTCTGTCTGTCTCTGTCTGTCTTTCTCTCTCTCATCTCTCTCTCTCTCTCTCTCTCTCTCTCATATCTCTCTGTCTGTCTGCCTCTCTCTCTCTCTCTCTCTCTCTCTCTCTCATGTGTGTGTTTGTTCTCTCTTGAACATTCCAAAAACAGGTGAGGGTTGTTCTTTTTTTGGCTGATATTCTTTCTTCTTCTTTGGGTGGTTTTTACCATGATTTAAAAAGAGTCATTTCAGGTTCCCAGATAAATGAAGCTCTTTGTCCCCCTGCTTTAGCTCCCTGTTGGCTGGCCCTGCCCCTCACCCTCCCCTCCCAGTCACTCCTTCTTCCGGCCCTTGTTGGTGCTGCATGCACCTTGGTCGCTCGGTGAGACAAGCAACTTGCTCTCTGCACTGAGACACTGGCCTGGCCTGGTCTGGCTGCGGCCAATGCTCTGCATCATAATGGGCTCCAGGAGGAGGAGGGGACACATTTAGCACACTTCACAATGGGGGAGATGGTGTCCCTTCCTCCTCCTGGAGGCCATTAAGAGGCAGAGCATTGGCCGCAGCTGGCTGAGCCAGTGTCTCAGGGCAGAGAGCAAGTTTATTTATTTATTTATTATTTATTAATCCAATTTATATGCCGCCCTTCTCCGTAGACTCAGGACAGCTTACAATGCATTATAGCAATAGCCTGCATACTTTTTTGTATATACCTGCTTATTAGGGATTTTGCCCCCCCCCCCGCCCCCAGCAGTGTTGTTCTATACAAAGTTGGCTTATTGCCCCCACAATCTGGGTCCTCAATTTACCTACCTCAAAAGGATGGAAGGCTGAGTCAACCTTGAGCCTGATGAGATTCGAACTTGCACTAATTGTAGGCAGCTGGCAGCTAAGTGCTAGCACTTAATAGCACTTTAGTCCGCTGCAACCACCGAGTTGTGCATCTCCCTGAGCAACCAAGGTGTGCACAGCACCAACAAGGGCTGGAAAAAGTGCCTGTGAGATGAGGCAAATGCAGGGGTGCTTTGCTTCTGCTCTGGAATATGGAGCAAGTCTCCATCCCCCGACATTGCTCTTACCTTCTCAGGCCAAGCAAGGAGTGACTGGGGGGGCAAGGGGTGGGGCCAACTAATGTGGGTTCAGCCAACAGGGTGCCACAGCTGGGGGACAAAAGAACTGCATGCGGCTTTGGAGCCACGGGTTGCCAATATCTGTCATAAACTATTCCAGTTCCAATGATATTTCTAGAGGTACTAAGTGAAAGTTCAGAAAATACCTACTATATGGCCCCACTCAATCATTTTATAGGCATGGAATTACCTGATTAAGATTTCTATTCTAGTAAACTCTTCTTGTAGATATTAGCATAAAGGAGAAAGCATAAGGTTAAACACTTCAATTCACATAGTATCTTTCTAGAAACATTTGGTCGATTGTAAAAACAATGTGGGAATACAAAATTTTAGTTAGCTGGAGATTTTTGAAAATTAAGGCATAAAATAAAGGGAAAGCTAAAAACAATTTCAAAGTAATTCTATTTGCTAGAGATTTAGGAAAATCTCCTAAATATATAATTGACAAATATCAATCCAAGGGATTGATAGAACCAAGGGATCCTTGGTGCTTTCTGAGCTTGATTATTTTCTTGCAGATGTTTTCATTATCAAACTAGGTAGTATCATCAATGCTAGCCAACTAATATAAATATAATGTCAGCCTCCGACTTTCTGCTTTGTTTAAATTGCGCTGAGCTACGGTTGCTCTCAGCGCCGACTTTGCATGGTTTGTACTCATCTTTTCCTAATTCCCGTATATAGAGAATTAAAACCAAGCACTGATCATCCAAACACAGTGAACTGGCTCTGAGTATTTCGGCATTCACATAGATGTGGATTGGAGAGCTGAGAGAAAGTTGGCACTCTCCCTTAAATTCAACCTGCTGTTTGCAGCCGTGAGTACAGTATGGCTGAGGGGACGGATCCGGGCATGCCTGAGGCCGTAGAGGCTAAGGAGGAAGATGTGGCAGTTGTGGCTGTGACACCCAAGGAAAGTGAAGTTTTGGTAGTTTGACCTAAGGAGAGGAAAATCCTGAGTGTAGACCTTCTGGTGGACCACCAAGGGGATACAGAGAAGGGGATAACACAATCTACTTTGGGTAATTGGTGGCATAGCTCTGCAATAACTGGCCCTGGGGAGACTTGGGATAGAACCCCACCACCTATTGGACCAGCAGCGTTTCAAGGATGGAGGGAGAGACACTGGACAGAAGAGGAAGACCAGGACTGGAGTTATTCTGTGGGTTCTGGAGCCACTATGGAGGCACTAAGAGAATGTTTTGGGGAGGCAGCTTTCGGGATGCGCCTTCATGGCAGCCCTGGGTGCCAGGACTGGACCCCTCAAACACCTGGAGAGGGACTGGCACTGGGTCTGGTTCTGATTCATGTTTATGACTCACCAGCCCAAAATTGTGAAGAGACCAGGATCCTCACCGGTTCAGTGGTGTAGAGCAACCTACTGGCCTTTTGGGTCCAATCACCAGGGAGGCAATGTATGGTCCTGGTCAGGGATCTAGTGGTAGTTATGAGATGATTGACACCAGACCCCCACCTGTGAGGACACAGTTGGAATCCCATCAAGTAGCTGCTGGAGGTAGGGATAACATCAGAGGACGTGAGCAGGTGCCAGTTTGGCCTATTGGCTCATGGTCTCAACAACCACCCTTTTGGGCCCCACCACCCATCTAAGCCTCTTTCGATGGGAATCCTGATAGGGTAGCATTGTTTCTCAGTCAAGTCATTAGCCATTTCAACCTCTACAGTCAGTTCTACCCCTCGCAATGGCCGATGGTGGTATCTGCATTGTGGGGAGAGGCAGCAGATTGGGTAGCTGATCTCCACAGCGTGCATGCTTGGGAACTAACAAATGTGGGCATGTTTCTGGAAGGTCTTAGGGCCTGCTTTGAGGATGAAACTAGGGCTCAAATCACTGAGGGAGAAATAGTAGTGATTAAACAACGTGGCCAGTCCACTAAGGACTATGTCAGAGAATTTAGGAAAATCACCAGGAGACTGAGAGCCTGGCCTGAATGCTAATTGATTCACCAATTCCATATGGGGCTGGATAGGGACTTGAGGCAGGCATGTGTCTATCAAGGATTACCCCCATGCCTCGCCAAGTGGTTCAAGGCTGCCATAGATCTGGACAGGGGTCTGCAGGAATTTAGAAGCCAGGGTGAAGCCAGAATGATGTATCCACGAAGGACAGTGGACAGAATACCACCAAAAAGAGAGACACCATCAACAGTGCCTAAACCGAGGGGAGAGGATTCAGCTCGCCGGCCAGGGTTTAGGTGTTTCTGCTGTAATCAGGAAGGCCATTGTATGGCTGACTGCCCTCTACCACCACCGAGGTCGCCGGGACTACAATCCCCTGTCACCAGGGATACTACTAGGGTCCGGAACCGACCAGCATCTGAATGGATACGCCTCACAATGCAGACCCTACCCATGAAGAACATGACGCTGGGGAAGGATGTTGGCGGTGTATCTGAGGAGAGGGTTGGACAGTTACCTTTGGTTGCTGAGAGAGTGATGAGGAAGCATCGAACGATCCAATGGTGAGCAGACCTGTTTGACCGTTTGTGATCCCGGTGATGATACGGAATACCCTCACAGCAGTGGGATGTGAACAAGGGGCATTAATTGATTCAGGATATACCTGGTGTTTAATCTGTGGGTCCTGGTGGATGGGTTAGCGTTACAAGTCAGAAAACTACACACCCCAATCAAATTTGAGCAGATGGATGGTTCCATACTGGGGGTCTACTGGCTATCCACGTCACCGACCTCGTAAGATTAGAGATAGGAGACCACTGGGAGCATATATGGTTCATAGTAGTGGAAAAAATGGTGGAACCCCTTATCCTGGGTCTCACATGGTTGGACAAATGGCAGCCGACTATTTGGTGGGAAGATGGGTTTTGGAAGCTGAGGCTGACCCTTGGTCCAGAACCACCGACGGACCAGGCAAAGGTGGAGACATCACAGAAAGAACCTAAGACTGGTATGGAACGGAATTTTCCAGAGGTATATGGGGATTTATCAGAGGTGTTTAGTGAAAAGGAGTATGAGGTGTTACTTCCACACCGACCTACTGACTGTGCTATAGAATTGATACCAGGGGCCAGATTACCAAAACCACGCATGTATTCCATGACCCCAAAGGAAATTGAAGAGCTTAGATGTTATATCGATAAAAATTTAGCCAGAGGGTTCATTAAACCCAGTAGATCTCACATGGCGGTGCCAGTTCTCTTTCGAGAGAAGAAAGATGGTGGTCTCCATTTGTGTGTTGACTTCCGTGGACTTAACACAGTGTGCGTAGAGCATTTATACTGTTTACTGCTGATGAAAGATCTGCTGTCCACTTTAGCAACTGGCAGAATCTTTACAAAACTAGACCTGCGAGAGGCATACTACTGGGTGCATATTAGACCAGGGGATGAGTGGAAAACAACCTTCAACTGTCCCCTGGGAAGCTACCAATTCCAGATAATGCCATTTGGTTTACAGGGCACCCCGGCTGTGTTATGCAGGTGATAAATAACGTATTGCATGAACATCTCTACTGGGGAGTCCTTGTATATTTGGCCAATATACTAATCTATACAAAAATAATGGAGGAGCATACCCAGTTGGTCCGTCAGGTTTTGGAGAAATTGTTGGCAGCCAAATTATACATCAAATTGTCAAAATATGAGTTCCATCAAACAGCGATAGATTATCTGGGTTATCGTATATCAGAAAAAGGGTTAGAAATGAATCCTAAGAAAGTACAAGCCATGTTAGAATGGCAGGCTCCGAAAATGAGGAAACAGTTACAAAGTTTCCTTGGCTTTGCCAATTTTTATCGGCAATTTATTCCCTCATTTGCACAGTTAGCCCTGCCTTTGACAGATCTATTATGCACAAAACCTGGTACAACCAAATCATGACCAGGATAAGTGATTGTATGGACATCTGAGTGCCAACAGGCATTTGAGATGCTAAAAAGACTGTTTCTGTGTGAGCCAGTCTTGAAACATCCTGATCCAACAAATGCATTTGTCATACAAGCAGACGCAAGTGATGTGGCTGTGGGAGCTGTTCTGCTCCAAAGGAATAACCAGGGAAACTTGCAACGCTGTGCATATACTTTGAGAAAACTCATGACCACAGAGAGGAGGTGGGCCATATGGGAGAAGGAAGCTTTCACGGTGAGATGGGCCCTACTCACCTGGAGGCATCTGCTTGAGGGGGTGGGGATTCCGTTTGAGGTGTGGACGGACCACAAAAACCTAGAGGCTTTACAATCTCCTAAGACTCTGTCTCCTAAGCAGGTCAGATGGGTATTATACTTTCAGAGGTTCAATTTCACCCTGAAATATGTGCCCGCTGGCAAGAACTTCTTAGCAGACGTGTTATCGCACATGCCTCAATATAACAGCAAAAGGGAAGAAGTGGTGCAGCCAATGATACCTTTTCACCAATCGGCTGGGCAGATTGATAACCCCAGGACGAGAAACCCCTGGCATGACGAAGTGAAGAAGGCTTTAGCGATAAACCCCTGGTTAGCTAGAAACAGATACCTAGTGACAATAAGAGATGGTCTTGCATGGAAAGGTGATAGATTGTATATTCCAACAACCCTTCGACTAGCAGTGCTCAATAAATGCCATGACGTTAAACCTGCTGGTCACTTTGGGTTTCTCAAAACTTTGCATCTGGCCAGACATCAATTTTGGTGGCCATGGATGTGTAAAGACATAGAGGAGTACACACGAAAGTGTAGGGTTTGTGCTACAACGAAACCACACCCTGGAAAACCTCTTGGCCTCTTACAGTCAGTAGCCAGTAGCCAATCCTGGGAGACTGTGGGATGAAATCACAATGGATTTGTATTGTAGACCTCCCAGAAAGCAATGGCAATATGGTGGTATGGACTGTGCTAGACCTTTTCTCAAAACAAGTGTATTTCATACCATGTAAACAGCTTCTGTCAGCAAGAAGGTTAGTGAAGAGGTTATATAACACATTTATCGTTTATATGGTGTGCCCCGTAGAATCATATCAGATAGGAGGGTGCAGTTTACTGCCCGATTTTGGAGAGACTTTGTCCACTTGATAGGATCATCTCAAGGGTTAAGCTCAGCATTCCACCCTAGCACTAACAGTGCAGTGGAACGTGCCAATGCTATGGTGGAACATTACTTAAGAAGCTATGTGTCATATCAGCAAACGGACTAGTCGAGCCTCCTAACGTTTACTGAAGTGACATACAACAATGCTGTACATATGAGTACCAGCTTTACTCCATTTCACGTAGTGACAGGAAAGGACTTCCCTGCAATCCCCGAGTTAGAGACAAACACCCTAGACCAACTGTCTCCTGCTGACTGGCCTGATAAAATCTGAAAGGTATGGCTACATGTAAAACAAGTGTTGGTGAAGGCTGCGGATGAATACAAGGTGCAAGCTGATAAAAGGAGAACAGAAACTAAACCGTTTCACATGGGTGATCGAGTATTCTTGTCCATCAAATATATTAAGCTCAGGATCCCATGTAAAAAACTAGGACCTAAGTATCTGGGACTGTTCACAATTACCAAAGCCATTAATCTGGTTACCGCAATGCTAAAACTACCTCCATTGCTGTGGCAAATACTTTTCATAGCAGTTTACTAAAACCCGTAGGACAAGTAACGTCAACAAGTCCTCCTGGACCTGTTAATGAAAATGAGTATGAACTAGAGGAGATACTAGATTCTAAAGTGACAAGGGGGCGGTTGAAATACCTAGTAAAATGGAAAGGGTACCCGTGCGAAGAAGCATCATGGGTTGACAGAGATGATGTTCAAGCCCCATGGTTAATACAACAATTTCATAGGACATACCCACAGAAACTGAGAACACCCCCCAGATAACTGATCTTAACATTTTGTTGTTTGTTCCTTGCAGGTGGACTCCTGGTAGAGGGCCCACCTGTCGAGCCCAGCCATGGCTTGCCACAAGAACGTTCACACACACAACACTCCTGCAACGATTCCAGGAGGGGATGGGCACTGGATGGCTAGGTTTCGGTGGTGGTGGTGGTGCTGGTGGTGGTACACTAATGGATTACTGGTGGTGGTGGAACAGGTGCGAGATGAGGGGATATGTGGCCGACGAATCAACATCATTGTAGCTTCGGGAGCATCATGATCCCATATCCTGGTTAGAGTGAGCAGGAAGTGGCTGCTGAAAACTCTGAACAGCTGAGATGTGCTGTGGGGCGTGGGCGACACACCTTGTTTAAATTGCGCTGAGCTATGGTTGCTCTCAGCACTGACTTTGCATGGATCGTACTCATCTTTTCCTGATTCCCGTGTATAGCGAATTAAACCAAACACTGATCATCCAAACACAGTGAACTGGCTCTGAGTATTTCGGCGTTTGCATAGACGTGGATTGGAGAGCTGAGAGACACTTAACAAGTATTCAATGTTACCATGGATTTCAAAGAAGCTTCTTATGACCCATCCTCAAGTTACGACTACTGCCTACCCTATGATTGCATGCAATTGCATTTCAGATACTTGGCAAGTGGCTCACATTTATAATTGGTTGCAGCATCCTGTAGTCACATGTCTGTGATTTGCCATATTTTTTTCTGGCAAAACCCCCTTATCCTTTCAAAAGAATGGATTTGCTTAACAAAGATGTGATTAACTTCAAGACTATGGTTACTTGCTTTATCAATGTAATAAAAAAATAGTTGTAAAATTGAGCCCCGTCACATGGAGCCTTGACTTACAACCACAATAACTTATAATCGAAATTCTAGGCTCTATTGTGATAATCAGTCAAGGACTTCTATATTGCACAGACCCATAGGATAGTTTCACCATCAGGGTGCCAGTTCTTCAGAATTCACTTTTTTTTTAAATGTCCAGAAACCAGAAATATACTCAGGATGCTATTTTGTCATAAATATAAAAATGTGCAAAAGAGATTAAATCTGTCTCAGTGTGAGAGGATGCATGTGAGAGAAGGAGGGAGGGAGAGAAAGAGAGGAGGGAGGGAGAGTGAGACAGAGTGAGAGATACAGAGACAGATTTTTTTTTTGTGTGTGTGTGAATATAATTCACTTTATTGGGTTTAAATATGGTGGAAATAAACAAGTTAACTACAATGAAGCAAAATCTCACTGATCACAACTAATGTTCTCTTGAATGAAAATCAAAGGGATATACTGTATACTAGATAGTGTTTTTTTTTAAAAAAACATTTTTAGTATAGAAGTTCTTAATTTTAACAAAAGGAAAAGTAACAAAAGGGAAAGTATAATTAACATGACATGAGTTTAATAAGTCAGTGGGCACTCACATCAACCCGAGTAAGCAAGAGTGGTCCTGAGCCAACCAACTTTGACATTTCCCCCCAGGGAGACTGATCTACCCAGGCTGTGACTCCTCTGCAATTCCTGTCAGCTCAGTCCAGCCCATGGCTGAGTCTTCCCAGGCAGGACCGGTCAACCACCATGGTGACCAGTGCTGCCAGCCCCCTGCAGCAGAGACTGCCTAGATGTCGGAGACCAGCCACCCACTGAAGCAACCCCAACTGCCACCAGCATGGGTGGGGGGGGCCTCTGGTTGGGCTTACTACCTGGGGCAAGGCTGGATCCAAGCCCAATGGATGCCCGCCCTGGCGCCAGTGCCACTTCCTTCTCCTCCAGCCTAGCCTCCACCCCAGCACACTTCGGAGCCACCTTTGATGGGAGCCCAGACAGGCTGGCTTTCTAGCTGAACTGGGTGTGGGCTCACATCAATCACTATGGGGGCAACTACCCTAATGACCAGGAAATTATCACTGCCATTCAGTGGAGAACTTGGAGGGAAAAGCTGCAGAGTGGGTGACTCAAGTGCATGATGAAGGTGCCCCAGATCTGGGAAATGTTAACAACTTCCTGCAGGAGCTAAGGAACTGATTTGAGGACATGGCCCAGGGCCAGGCACTCAAGACTCTCAAGCAGAGGAGCTGCCTGACCAAAGAGTATATCAGAGAATTTCAGAGACTTGCCAGGAAACTGAGGTACTGGCCCAAACACCGCCTAGTGCACGTCTTCAAAGAGAGTCTGGACAAGGAGCTATGCCATGCCTGAGTCTGCCGGGACATTCCAGACCACATTCACAACTGGTACCGGATGGCAGTGGCCATAGATCTCAAGCTTCACCAGTACCAGAAAGAGGCACCAGAAAAGAAGCCCAAGAGACAGCTTGGTTGGCAATCTGGCTCCCACAAAGTGGAAGAGCAGCCCATGACATCAATCAAATGTTTTTGGTTTGGCCAGCAGGGTCACCAAATGTTGGAATGCCTGGCACTGACCCCTGTCCCCCAAGCAAAGACCCCTATGATGACCAAACCCAAGAAACTGCCGTGGAAGCCTACAGAAAAGGGGAAATTTGTCCATCAAGTCATTGAGGTTTCTCTCCCCTTGAGGGAGAATAGGGAACTCCAGCTCAGGAAGCTCCACCACTGCTAGTAGGCAATAGCAAAGATAATAGTGAGGATGACCCAATGATCAGTGAAGCCATCCATCCATTCGCTATTAAGTCAAAACTAGCAGTGCCCAAGATGGGAGTACAGGGTGAGGTAGAGGCCATCATAGACTTGGGGTATACCCAGTGCCTGATCAGCCTCCCCCTCTGTCAGAAGCTAGGCATCTGGACAAGAACCCTAACTAATCCCCTACACTTTGAATAAATTGATGGGTCATTAATAGGGAGAACCCCTGCCACCCTGGTCACTGAGCCCATGTAGTTAGAAATGGGTCATCACTGGGAGCTCATCTGGTTCATAGTGGCACAAAAAATGACAGAAGTGATCATCCTAGGGGAGAGAGAGAGATGAGAAATCCCAGTGTTTTGTTTTCTGTGGGAAACAGGTCCAAATGGCTCTTTGAGTGTTTATGATTGCAGAAACAGGCGGCCAAACTAAGTACCCCATCCTGTCACTGGGAGTCCAGGCGCTTCAGTGAGTGGCACGCTGGATTCGTATTAGTGGTCCTCAGGATTTAAAATTATGAATTTAGTGGTCCCTGATGTCCAAAAGGTTGGTGAACTTTGAGCTAGAGGGCTCCAAGTGAAGCAAAAAAGCAGCTGCCACCTCAGAGCCATGGCTGGGGAGTCATGGCTCCCTAGAGAATACCGAGACTTGGCCAAAGCATTCAGTGAGGAGGAATGCAACACCCTACCCTCTCACTGCCCCACAGATTGTGCCATAGAATTCATGCCAGGAGCCAAACTGCCCAAGCCGTGCTCCATGACCCCATGACCCCAAGAAAGATGACTGAATTAAGAGACTACATCAACACTAACCTAGTGCAAGGATTCATACAACCAGCTAAGTCCAAAGTAGCCAGTCCAGTCCTCTTTAAAGAAAAAAAAAGAAGGGACAATGAGATTATGTGTTATTTTTAGGGGAATTAATGTAGTATGCATAGAAAACACCTACCTACTGCCTCTCATGAAGGACATACTGGCCCACTTAGCTAAGGGAAAGGTGTTTACCAAGCTGGACCTGTGGGAGGTATACTGCTGAGTGTGAATAAAGGAGGGAGACAAGTAGAAAACTGCCTCCAACTGCCCATTAGGCAGCTTTCAATTCAAAGTGATGCCTTTCAGACTACAAGGAGCCCCTGCAGTCTTTATGAAACTGATGAATTAGGTGCTTCATTAGCATCTCTATAAAGGTGTCCTCATCTACTTGGACAACATCCTCATTTTCAGTGAAACCCTAGAGGAGCACATAAAATTGATGTGCCAAGTACTGAAAAAACTCCTTGCAGCTAAGCTGTATGCGAAGCTGTCAAAATATGAATTCCACAAGACTATGCAGGACTACCTGGGCTACCGAGTGTCAAGCAAAGGGATGGCCAAAAACCAAGAAGCTATGGCAAAAACATGATGAGATAAAAAATGAAATGGGGGAGCTTCCAGCGCCACGCTGGTGTGGTGCAGGGGAATTAGACTCCGTTCTCCCTGCCTGATTTTCTGCATTTTGGAAGCCAGTAATGGCAAAGCAGGTCCTTGGAGGGGACAGCTATAGTGAGGGGCACATCCAGGGGTGACTGGGAGAGGAGTGATCCCCCATTATGAAGGGTTAGAGCCTGAAAACCAGCGTAGAAGAGACCAGCTGTCAAGGCAAGGTCCAGAGATGTGGCAGCCCAACAAAGATATGAGAGGAAGCAGAAAGTGAGAAGCAGCAGAAGTATCAGCGGATAGGAAAAAGAAAAAATATGGGACACCGAACTATCTCTCTGGTGGATGGGATTTACAAAAACTACTGAATAGAAGTGAGTCTCCGAGGTGGAAGTGGCGGTGCCTTAGCGGTGGTAGCAGAGATGGAAGAAGACAGAATTGTTGTGGATTGGTGAGGAGGGAAAGCGATTGTGAGTGTGGATTGAACAGTTGATACCTAGGTTTTGAGACACAAAAACCTGTAGTGAAACCCAGCAGGAAGAAAGAAAAGGCTAACTTTCAGGGACAGTGGTGATTGAAGTGGAGGAAAGTAAAAAAAAAAAAAAGTGAAGAGAAAGACAGTGACAGTGACAGTATAATTTGAAGGCAGCTACCATTCTGGAAGCTGAAAACAAGGAAGAGTTTTCACAAGAGTGAACAGAGAGACTGAAGACAAAGAACTGTGGTAACTTAAATGACTTTGAAGGAGACCTCTTCTTAAAGAATAGTATATTGTGAATATCCTGGATATTTCAGACTTTTACTATATATTCTAAATACTTAGATAAGTCTGAAAGAGACTTACCACTGAGAAATTTATATTGAATTATTAGCTCTAAACTTTAATAGTTTATAGAAACATATTGCTTTTTCTGATTTCAAACTTTTGATTGATTTATGTATATTTAAATGAATTAACTAGTTTTAAATACCTATTGTTGATTAATAATTGTATACATAGAGATCCTTATATTTACTCATAGGCATAATAGTTATAAGAAATTTTAAGAAATTGGATGTAAATACTGTATTATTATTATTGTAAGGAAGGTTTAGAGTGAAAAAGGTGACAATTGATGGTATTGTGGAATAATTTTTTCAAAAATTTAAAAATGTCAAATACATCCACAGTAACTAAAGTGGCAAAAAAACCCCACAATGTTAATGACAGCTTCTCCAGCAGGGCAAAAGTTAATTACAGATACAGTGTGCAGTGAAAAACCAGGACCAACACCAACCCTGCAAACTACAATCTTCATTAAATATGATTCAGGAGTTTATGATAAAAACGCAGGAATCAATAACAAACAATCATGAGGATATGAAGAGTGAATTAGGAGAAGTAAAAGAAGACATAAAGAAACTAGATAATAGAATGGGAAAAATTCAAGATTCAATAAT